ACTCATCATTGTAACATCTAGAAAAATTTAACCCCAAATTAGTGAAATAAATGAAAGTAATTAGGTAAATTTATGGTATGCATGATTACAGAGAGCTAATGAATACTTTAGATTATATTTTCAGCCCTAGGATTGGATTTGCAGTGAAATTGGGCCACCCAGATGTCAAAAAGTGAGAAAAACAAAGATAAATGACTCTGTGCCACATGCCACAATGCGTGTTACGACAAGCTGCGGCATATGGGCCAGTTAGGACACATGAACCCTTTCTGTACCACATGCCACAGCACGTAGAGACATGTGTCATAGCTCACAGTGCAATTTTTGCAAAATTTAGTCGTGAATCTGATGCAACAAATAGAAGAAAGAAAGGAGGGATTATGAGAGAAACAAAGAGAATGAAGAGAGCTCTACTAAAGCTTCATTCTTAGAGGTGTTTTGAAGCGACCAAACCCTAAGAATAAGTTTTCTAACCTCTTCTTCTCCCTTCCCAAACCATTTTGTTAAAGTTTTTGGTTAGGGTTTAATAATGGGAGATTATTTTCGATCGATATAGGTTATAAGTCCGAATTTATTAATATAAATAAAATTAAGGAAAGTTGTTGTAGTGGTTGAAACCATTAATGAGGGGTTTTAGACATTCATGGTAGTTAGGAGCCATTAATGTCCAAAAATAGGCATTAAATATGAAATTATGAAGGTTGTTCATCCACTATTAATAATATGAGAGTTTAATGAAGCTATTGGGAGTTAAATAGAGTTAATAAATCCAATGGGTAGGCCTAAATGTGAAAAGTAAGGCATTGGGTATTTTAAAATGAAAATGTGAGAGTGAATGTGTTTTCAGTATTGTTAATTAATTTAGACATGATTAATTATAAATTAATCATTTGGGCACCACTTTGGACTTGAAAAGCAAGCTTGGAAGCAAAACATTGAGGGATAAACCTTTGATCTCTTAAAAGTTTGGGATAATTAGGGAAACTTTATTTTGAATGCCTATTTGTTAATTGAATTTTTAATGTGAAAATGGATTTACTTACATGTATGATTGAGTCTGTAAGTGTAAATGCATGCTATAAACCATATATTAGTATATTAATGTTAATCTTACAAAAATGTGTAGTTGAATTTGAGATGAATTTTCAAACTATGAATATGCATTGAAATGAAAAGTTTATGATGTGTGATATGTGATGTGATGTGATGATGATGTGGTTGTATTAGTATGTGATTACGACATTTGAGGCTAAATAAGAATTTGAATTGGGTACAAAATTGAGAATGGAAGTGGATAATGTAGTGAAAATAATAATATTAATGCTTACTTGGGTAGTATATTATTGAAAGCCTAATGTGTTGATATTGAATCAATGAAATTATGAAATGAGTGAGTATCATATATTACATGATCAGTTAACAAGAGTTCATTTAAGGAAAGGAGTAGATAAGAATCCATATGGTATTTACAGTTGCCTTCTGGTACACGAAGGCATAGCCTTGTCCTATTGTTTGTCAAGAAATTGTTCTATAGTTTGTTGAGAGACTAGAACCTAGCTATCTCTACCTATTTATCGAGAAGGCTAGCTTAGGGTATACAACACCCTAGAGATTCGAGAGTGAGGAAAGCCGTGATTCGAGAGTGAGTACTGTAATATTTGGTCAAGTTATAACTCATAATTAATGAGTTTGGTAGTCCAATCATACAGACAGAGCCCTAATTGATATTATAGCACATGGTTTCAGTTAGAAGATATAAAGAAGGTATAAGGTGAAATTGATCATGCATATATGTTTATCCGACGTGTTGCATGGTTGTTAACTTTACGGCAAGTCATAATAGTCACAATGCCATTGTCACATGGTCATTTAAGTTATGACTATGTGCATGGAATTAATGAATTAGGTCATTGTCATGTGTCTGTGTGTCTTGTGGCAATGTACCCTGTGATTTGAGATAAGAAGTATGAAAGGTAGTTAAATTGTAAAATGACAACTTACAGCATGTGAAAGTATAATTTGGGTAATCAACTCCATTTATGTGTGTTTATTTAATTAATATACAACTACATGGTATAAATATCCCTTGGTTACTGAGTAGTTAGACTCACCCTCCTTTTTCAATATTTTATAAGATCTAGCTCTAATGTGAAAAAGAAAAAGGCTTCGGAGGCTTAGAAATTTATGTATTCCTATCGTAATGCCTTCTTACTTCATTTATCTTGTGAAATAAACAAGTTTATTCCTAATTAGATTATATTTTGCATATACTTGCACTTATTGATGTTTGTGATTTCTTGAATGTATTTTAGGCTCTGAGATGTTGTTTGTAAGTTGTTTAAGTATTTAATAGGGTTAAAATGCTAGTGTAAGTGTAAGGTTATTGATTTGATTTTATTTGTGGATGTTGATTATAAAATACAATGCTAAAACTTCTTCCTCTGTTTTTGATATTAAAAGGGTTGAGGGGTGAAAATTTAATATGATAAAGATTATGTGTGTGTAGTGTGTTGTACAAGTAGTCATAAGTTTATTGAGTGTATTCTGGGAGTTAAGAATTGCTTTTGGCATATGTGTAAGGTTTTGGATATCCTTGATTTGTGAAGACTAAGAAACAATGTGAAAGCGTGTTTGGGCATTACTTTCTTGTATGACTTAATTTGAAAATAAAACTTATTCCATTAACTAGTCTATGAAAAGAACTTTTTGTAGACACTTAAATTACTTCATTCGAACGTCAAACAGAGAAATGAGGCATGTCGAAAAATGCCTAGATTTGTTGTTAAATGACAACAAAAATACTGTCTAAAAATGTGCAACACATTGTGGCGCATGACACAGAGAAGGAGCCTCCACTACGTATGAGCACATGTCATGGCGTATTACTCTGTTTTTCATTCCTAAATGTTTTTCAACTGTTTTGAATCTTTTCACTCCTCAAAGAAATTCTATACTTTTGAAATATTATTTTACTTTGATTGAAAAATTCATAAGTGATTTTGATTTATTTTAAATTATGAAAACTAGGGATCTCATTTCTATAAAATTCAACTTGGTAATCCCTTTTGGGTTAATCCCTTGATTACCTTGAATTATGGTTTCAATTACGATTAGGGGAGACATTACAATCATCACTCTCCATACCCTTCACTTCGTTATTCTTGCTCTTAGATTTTTTTTAAACAATACAAAATGACAATTATTATCATGCACTGCCTCTATTACAGTCAAAATACCAAGATCCTCTATTACAGTCGAAACACTAGTCTTACTTATATGAGAATTTATTTTTTTAACTAACATTATCTTAGCATGTTTCATGTCAAATTTAGAAAAATTTAACATTATGTTTTGATGTATGTGGATTTGTATTTAGATTTAGATTTGAGCTAAATTTATTGTTTAAATAATAAAAAATATGTAAATTTGGATTTGCTCTAAATTCAAATCTAAATTTTACCTTAATCATTTTGTAATTTTAAATATTTTTTGAACCCCTATTATTTCAAATTTCAATGGAAGCTTATTTCTTCTATCACATTCATTTACTGACTTTGCTACCTTCTCGATTTCAACATTGATACCTTTGACTGATATCAATTGAGATCGAATTGCTGACGTCGATCGAAACCTGACGGTCGACATTGATAGGGATAAGACCGCGGGCATTGATTGAGACAGAACGACCAACTTTGACCTGGATTGCACGAACAGCACCAACAGGGATAAAACTTCCAATGTCAAACAACTTGGACCACCGATGCTGACTAGGACTAGATTACCAGTGTCTATTTAGATCGGAACACAAGCTTTGACGAGACAGTCTAGGAGGACTAGGAATGGATGACTAGGGTTGATTGGGACTGGACAACCGACACTAACTAGGATCAGACCTTCGAGGATGATCGGGATTGGACTGGGCTGCTAGCATCCATCGGGACAGGACTACCGATAACAATTGGGATAGGACAGCCGATAGTGATTAGGAGGAGATTGTTGGTGAAAATCGAGACTAGACTATTGATATTGTTCGGGAGCACCCTTCTCTGTTGCTAGATGCCAGTTTTCCATTATCATCATCATTTGATGCCAATCCATTACTATCATCCAATGTCAATCCGCTACCAATGTTCGGTGTCTGTCGCATCCATCCTGTGTCAGTTCGCCACTATCATTGCTGTCTAAGATTAGTCTGTGATCACCTTCTTTGATTCGTCAGCTTTTGTCATCCAATGCCAAATACCATTGCTAACAAGGAATATTCTGGTGCTGTCATCCAGGTCCAATCTACAGGCCTTGGATTGTTGTAATCGTCCCATACTAATCCTTAGGCGTTGTTTGGGATTAGACTATCGATGTCAACCAAGATCGGATTGTCACTATCAATTGAGACTAGACTACTGGCATCATTTAGGTTTGGACAGTCGAAGTCGACTGAGATCGAGTAGCCAACCTTGATTAGGACCAGACTACTGACTTTGATTAGGACTAAACCATAGACATCGTTTGAGTTGCTTATAAATTCAAATATAGAATTTGAAATTTAAAATTTAATTTAAAATTTAAACAAAATATTTTAATATTACAGTTTGAAATTTTTTATATCATCTAAATAAAAAAATTAAAATTTATAAATTTTAAATGTAAGATTTTTAAAATTTAAATTTTCAACCCAAATTCACCTATCTAAACGCAATCTAACAGAATAAGACTAATTTGGACCATGTTAGGTCAAATCTTTTTTTGTTTTTTCATAGAAGTTTTGCCCCTAATGCTATGTTTTTGCATTTTTAGAATTTGATATCGGACTTCTTATTAAACTGGCCTAGTTCCCTCGTTAGATGAGAGTTTGTTATCACTGTGATTGTTGTCTTATTTCAAAAATCAATCCTATGATTAACTCATTATTCATTCAAGTATTTTATCAAGGATTTATTTGTCCAGACCCCACAAGAGTGTCGGTTTTTGGGTTCTGTGCATATGGCCTAAAAAATGCGATTCGTTGTTTCTTTCGCCTTTCTTCCTCACACATGGAAACTTCATTTCAACTTCATCACTGCTGTACACTCCGACTCGGTCCTTAAATTTGCTTTAATCAGCTCGTCACATTCCTCTTTTCTATTCGAGCATTTTCTAAAGCCTTATCCTGAGCTCGGTTTCTTTCCCTTAGTTCCCTTATATCTTGCTGGTTGGGCATCCCATTCAGCACCGTCCATTTGGAATCTGCTGGTTGCGAGCTTTGCAATCCTCCTTTTTTCGTTTTCTTTCGGTAAATAATTTTCTTCTTTTTCTAGTTCTGTTCAACTCTTCGCTTGTAGGAGATCAATGGACCTTCTGTTTACGCGTTGTGAAGACAATTCAAGCCTATTAAGTTTAGCTCTGTAAATTGTAACGCTAAGCTGATGATTTTGGAAATGCTCCTAGGAGATCAATGATTTATGCCGGACAAATGGAGACTGATTTGTTTGCTTGTTTGGATTTATTTTCACATATGGAAATGCTTTATCGTGGATGTTCCGCTGCAAAACCAATGGGGGAGCTCAATGTTTTATCTGTGCTGTACACCGTGTATTATGTTTTCTTGCGCCAAATAAGATGAGGCAGTTCGATCTTTCTAAGTAAAAATTAAAAAAAATTCTTCGATAATTATCTGCTGATTATGCATTACTGGCCATAAATTATTCATAATGCTCTCTTTTGTTGATCTATTTATTTGCGTGTTTGGCCAAACAAATTCAAAATGGATAGGTGTTTTTCTCCCAATGAAATGTCCTCGGGGAAAACATGATAGCCCAACTTATATGTATGGTCCAAAGCCAGGAAACCCTCTTTTTAAGGCAAAACATTATCAAAGGTACACCAGTTGAGTTTAGAAGAGTACAGATACAATTGAAAGCTCTTTTTTGAGTTAGAGCACATATAGTGTCACTTTCCAAATGTTTCTTTCTGTAAATTGCACTAGTTTATCTCATAGAATACCCCTTCTAATCTATAAATTAATGCTGACCGATTCATTCGCTTCTGAAGTAACAAGAACATACCACAAATTTTTGTTTCTAACAGTTAGGTTGAAAAGATAGTATGTAAGAATATCTACTGGATTCTACTTTGGAATCTTTACTGTGCATGATTCTCGTTTTGTCCATGTTCCTTAGCCAGTTTTTATTTGCTGGATTTTGCAGAATGGATAGTGCAAGAACGAGTCAGGTTTTGAAATTGAATATTCTAGTATTTCTATTGATCTTGCTGAAAGCAGAAGGCTTCTTTGTACCAATCACTTATATTGAGAATGCAGTGGCTAAAGGAGCTGGTGAGAAATTGTTGCTGTATCTGATCTAATTGAACTCTACTAAAAGCCTTGTTGTCCATCTCCATTTCAACATTCAGTTATGTTTACGAAGTTGGGAATCTGAAGTTCCGCTTAATTCGCAGTTTGTTTGGACGGGAGTCCACCAGCTTACCACTTTGATAAGGGTTTTGGATCAGGGATTAACAACTGGCTCATACACATTGAGGTGGGTCCATTTCTGCAAATAGGCATAAATAGATCTTCATCTGCAAATAGGAATCTCATTTTTGTGGACTACTCATGGAAGTTGTTCTTTCACTGGTAATGAATTTCCATCTGATTTCATTTCTAGGGAGGAGGATGGTGCAACAATGTCACCACGTGCCTTTCCCGAAAGAGCACTCGCTTAGGTTCTTCTAAGCAAATGGCCAAGCAGGTTACCTTCTCTGGAATTCTAAGCAACAAGGAAAAATTTAATCCAGGTATAGTCTCCTGGTTAATAATTATAAAAACCTGGACACGACATTTTGTATAACTTCTTTATGACTTTTGTACGATCCAGATTTCTACAATTGGAATAGAATCAAAGTTAGGTACTGTGATGGTGCGTCATTCACCGGTGATGTGGAAGCTGTGGATTCAGTGAGTTTTGCTAAACCGAATCATAAATATTGTGCTTCGAATTCCACGGAACATCTTAATGAGTACATATTTTCTATATGTTTTCCTGATCAGTTTCTTATTATATGATATGCATGGATACACCAGGATACAAATCTTCACTTCAGAGGAGCAAGAGTTTTCGTTGCTGTCATTGAGGATTTACTGGCTAAAGGAATGAAAAATGCTCAAAATGTACTATCCATTAAAATAATGCCACCTCCCCTCATTTCATCCTAGTAATTTTTTCATTCACTGATTGGAACCTATAATTGCAGGCTATCCTCTCTGGCTGTTCAGCTGGAGGATTGACTTCTATATTGCATTGTGATCGCTTTCGAGCTCTAGTGCCTGCGGGGGCTAAAGTGAAATGTTTTTCAGATGCTGGTTACTTCATTAATGCGTAGGCTTCTTAATTTGCTTTCTGTTCAGCCTTCTTTCGTGAGTTTCTGGAGTTTCTTAAATTATTTTATTCACTGTTGTCTTGTGCAACAGAAAGGATGTCTCAGGAGCACAACATATTGAACAATTTTACAGTCAAGTTGTTGAAACACATGTAATTCTCCCCTTTATCGAAGAACTTGAATATTTTGTGCTGTGGAAGGACCTTTTCCCACTTTTATTTCATTGGAAATATATAATATTCATGTTCAACTTTTCTTCTTTATTATTGTAGGGTTCAGCTAAAAATTTACCTCGATCCTGCACTTCAAGACTCAGCCCAGGACTCGTAAGTTTGTAAACTAGCGTCCCTCGCCTTTGGGATTATTTGTCTTGGTATTACTAATACTTTTCCTGAATCTTGCAGTGCTTCTTCCCACAATACGTGGCACCACAAATCACTACCCCGATTTTCTTTGTAAATGCAGCCTATGACTCATGGCAGGTCAGCCTCATCTGTTGCTAAAGATGCATGAATTCATTTTTAGAGTGATCTTTGTCAATGCTAGAAATTGCTAAAATAATATTTACATTTACATACATGTTGGTGAGTTCTTTTAAAAGGAAAGGTAACTTCGAAAATGGTTATATTCCTGCGTTGCTTCTGTCACTTTCTCTTTCTGCAAAAATCATGTCTAGTTTTGTTTTATACTTTTAAGCGTAATTTTAAGGGATATAAATGGTTAAAGACAACATCAGACTAGAAAACCACTAATGTGGATGCGAAATTAACCATTCATCTCTTTATTCAAGTCATCATTTTGTTCTCCTTTGTGAGGGATGAATTCTTTCTATTTTCCTTTCTGATCTTTGAGATATTGCTGATACTCAGATAAAAAACACCTTGGCACCGGGTGTCGCTGATCCCCACGGCCACTGGCATAGCTGCAAACTTGATATAACCAAGTGCTCACCCGATCAAATTGGTATCATGCATGGTAAATAACAATACTATCAGAAATCCTTAAACAATAAACGGTTAAGTCTTACTTTCAAGATCTCTTTCTTATGCATTTTCTGGTTTTCAGGTTTCAGGTTGGACTTTTTGAAGGCATTGACCGTTCTGGGCAACTCTCTGTCGAAAGGAATGTTTATAGACTCTTGCTATGCCCACTGCCAAACAGGAACGCAAGAGACATGGCTAAGAAGTGACTCTCCAGTGCTGCACAACAGAGTAAGAGACTACAAATACTTCGTCATTTTCATCTGGCTTGTGGTTCATTATTTGTCTTTTACTTTATGTCCACTTGAAAACATAACTTTGTCTAAATAACAATCTGCAGACAATTGCGAAAGCAGTAGGAGACTGGTACTTTGAACGAAGTCCTTTCCATCAGATTGATTGCCCCTACCCATGCAACCCCACTTGTCACAACCGTGTTTTCGAGTCGGACCATCCTACAGTGTAGATTCATTTCATGTCATAGTATATCATCGTTATGAACTGTACTCAGGCCTAATTAGCTTGATCTTGAATAAGAAAAAAATGTGTGATTTATATTTTATAATTTATCAAGCCATCAAGGTAAGTAGAGGCTGCCACTGCACTAGGCTTGTTTGCTGGGTGTCCTCCAATGATTGTTCAATGTTACAACTTCCGTATTCCTAAATCTTAATAGAATTTATTCGTTCTATGTTGCTACTACTTGAAAATCTGCTTTACCTGTAATGCCATTGAGAGGATGATATGCTCTGTGAATGTTAGCAAAATGCAACGAATGCAACAAATGGAACTTCTAGTACTACATCGTCAGCTACGAAGGTCAGCTTTCCAAATTTATCAAAGGAGGTGAGCTGAACTGCTTATCTTGCAAAGACAACAGACAGTGCTACCTGTGCGTACTGATGCCATAACACAAGAAATTGAAGAATGCTTTGACTCAAAGTAATTGTTTAGTTCTATGCCTAATAAATTTGGGAGCAATGTTAACTTTTGCCTGAGTGCTCTTTTTTCTGGGGGAAGGAATGTTTGAGCTACCATGTGAGTATGTGACTAGAAAAACAGGACTTTTGTTATCAAAATTGAAAGAAGGGAAAAAAGACAAGAACTTTTTTTTTTATTTTTTTTTTGATAAAGCAAGAGAATGGACACCAAGAAATAGGCCTATGTAAGAAGATATTTATGGAGATAGAAGTTAACTGAGTTGATTCAATCTCTCTCTCTCTCTCTCTCTCTCTCTCTCTCTCTGTGTCGCGCGCGCACTGGCTATCTAAATAATTAAGTTTTACCCGTTTTTCAGCAAAATCAAAGCAGGTTGATGAAAGATTAGTTTTATTTGTACCCTGGCTTTGTACTCCTTTTGAGTTAGTTATATATTATCCCTTTTCATTTTAAAAAAAAATGTAAAATCAAAGCAGAACAGATTGACAAATTCCAAGTACCAATGAGCAGCGAGGGAAGTTTTACAAGCTGAATCAAACATAATGTAGCAGCAAAAATTTTTTGTTTTTACTGGTCATGTAGGAGCAAAACTCAATCACCAATACAGTTATGTGTGGGTGTGTATCCTTGGTATGGAACAAAATCCATAAGTTTTCCCATGAATATATTGACGGAGCCGTAGGGAAGGGCCTGCATAAACGCAATTAAGATTCTAAAACAGACAGGAAACTTGCCTGCCATGTAGAAAATGTCTTACAAAAGCATTATTCTGGATAGCTTTCTCCTCTTTGTTGTGTTTTGGACGGCAATTGCTTTGTGGAAAAACCGAAGGTTGCAACGCCAGAATATGATGCCTCCTACGCTTAGCTTTGAAGAATCCTTCAAATGAAATACTCAATTAGCCAATTCACCTCCCTCCGCACGCGCGCACAAAAAAAAAAAAAAAAAAAAAGGAAAAGGTTCAGCTTTTTGCTTTAGTCCTGAAACTCGTTGCTTATTCATCGGCCATCTTTGCCTTTTCTTTTTCGTACTGTATGACCAATTCTTTTCTTAAGGAGGAAGGAAGAGAGAGAGAATCAGCAAATAAAGGAAAGTTTCATATATTTTATTAGGACACGTGGAATGGGGAGCGATTGAAGCTGAAGCCGAAGCTGATCACCACGCAATAAGTAATAATCAATTTTATATTACGCTTTACCTTTTTCGCATAATAATGTCTTTTTAATTGTCTCATTTGACCTAAAAAATGAGCGATTAATGTTTGCTACCATAATTATCTTTTTTACAAAATATTATTTTATCTCTTAATAAAAAAAATAGAATAAAAAATCACTTAAAAGTTTTAATTTCGCTCCCGTCTTCGTCCTGCACCTGCCTTCTCACCGGGTTAAGACTTAGTAAGACTCTAGAGTCTAGCCTGCCCATACTTGCGCCGTACTCTGATTAACTAAGCTCTGTTCGTCTGTCAATCTCCGGCCACCGTCGCACGCGAGTGATTTTTAGTTTGAGAAGCATTATTCTTATTGTCCACTGTTAAAAAATTCAAAAAAAAATTGTCATTTTATTATTTTATCAATTAAAACAGTCTTTTATATGAAATAAATAAAAAAATATATATATATATATATATCTAAAAGTTGCCATTAATAAAAATTATATGAATAAAAATTTATTATTTAATAAAAAAAACATATACACCATTTGATTAAAAAAAAATGGATGTGGTATAATTTTTACTGGCAACTTTCGCTAGTGCATCTGCAGCCTTGTTTACTTCACGGTCAGACAAGATCACGTCCACAGTCCAATCCCGACTCATTAGGTTCGTATCTCCTGCATGATGTCTTCGTCCCAGTTCACGACAGAGTCCAAGTTATAGATACCTTGCACTACTTCCCTACAATGACATTCCACGACAATATTCCTCTTATGGTCACGAACCTCCTTCGAACTCGTTATGTTCCTCTGGATCCAAAGCATGATGTTGTGTTCTTGGAAAAAACTCTGTTGCCAACTCTGTGGAAGGAGAGTAAGCCAAACTTGACGTGCGGCTAGACAGTCACGTATAGCATGCAGGATCGATTCCACATCCTCCTCACAAAATCCCACAACCTCCAGCCCCATGCATGTTTCTCCGCTTCTAGCTTCATTTGGAAGGAGCCTGTCACCAGCCTTTAGCCATAGATGCATCCAACAGCGTTTGGGCACCTTCAGTTTCCACACTCTAGCCAGAATCCACCATTATTCGTGCCTCAGCCCCCTTCAGTTAAGAATAGGCTGACTTAAGCGAGAATTTTCCGTCATTGGACCAACGCTATACCGGAATATCCGCTCGGTCCACTACATGGATGCTCGCAATGGCCTCCAGTATATCCCTCGGAAGAAACTGTTTACACTTGGGCTACTCCCAAGAAGTACCTGAGGCGGTATACAGTCTGCCCACTACCCATTCTTTGACAAACGGGGATCTCTAGCCGCACGCAACTTCCTCTTCAAGATTCTTAAGTGTCGTAAGTGGTAACCATGCATCACTCAAAAACTTCACATTCTGGCCATTACCTAGCCGCCACGCAGTACTTTCCTGGACTTTTGACCGACCAACCAGCCAGAATCCCCCTCCAAGTTTGTGACGCTGCACTACGCTTTTTCATGGTCGGAATCACATCCGTCCCACACCTATGTTTCTCACGCAGAAACTTCACCCATAATGCATCCCTTCTGTGAATTAGCCCCCAACCTAGCTTGGTCGTGAAAGCTAAATTTTGGTCTTGTGCATGCCTCAGACCCAAGCCACCATGAGCTTTTCAGTACACACCTTATCCCATGACGTGAGGTGTATCTTGCGCGACTCACTAGTACTGCCCCATAAAATGTTTCTGCACCTTACCCATGACATGAGCTTGGTCACCTCCTTGTGATGCCCACAAAAAAAGCGATCGAAATCATCTCCATCAGGGGGTGGCGTTTACAGATCAAAACTCAGATGGCCCAATTGATGAAGCCCATTTTACCTGCAAGCCCAATTTCCCCCATGACCCCCAATAAAATGGAGTACAGCTTGAGAAATAGAGTTTTTTGTTATCCACGAGAAAAATTCAATTATTGACAATTATTTACACCTCATAATTTTCAAAAAAAATGAAATAAATTTATCTACAAAACCCAATCCTATTTATTGAAAAAGTATATTTATTAAGTTATTATTTAAAAAACGCTTATAATATTTTCAATAACTTGATATCAAATTGTGCTATACAAGTACACGTCTCTTATTTTTAAAAGGTTCAATCAATTTTTTTAATTATATGGGTAAGTTAAAAGTTTGAGATGGATGACGAGTGGAATGTTGTTGGATGTAAAAATTTCACATATTACTCTTATATTTATATTTTAAATAAATAGTTTAAAACTGTTTTTTCTTTAAAAAAAAAAAACATGAGACTGACAAGAGAAATGTAAAGCGTTAAATTGAGATCTCTCTAGTAGTAATTCCTTTGTAAAAGAAAACAAAAAGAGTGATATAAAAAAAGGGGCTCTTGCATATATTATTTGTATTAGATGACTAAACCAAACAAATAATCTAATATTTATTATATTCTGTATTATGACCTATTTATATTATATCCATCTATTATAACAAGATACGTTATGATTTATTCATCAGAAAAATTGAAGTGGTGGAGAGTTGAAGTTGTGGGAGATGACGGCCACTTGCTAGAAGCAGAATGTATGTGGGGACAAAATATAAGGCACTAACTTTGGACAAGTTTCCATCACTATCTTATCATCAGCAAACACTTACAACAAGCTGATCCTTTAGCAAATAATAAATAATTTTACCCAAAAAAAATTAAAAAGCTGATCGGATTTTGTCAAATGGCCACCTTTGCTTTCCTCGCATTATGTATGGTCATGCAAATTTCTCTCCATGATTTAACGATTCTTTTTTTGAATGAATATATATACATTCTATATTGTTTATTTATAAATTAATTTTAATATTTTTTAATAAAATTAAAGAAAACTCAAACTCATTCAGTTTTTTCTTTTTATTTTTTCTTTTTGAAAATTCTACGCTGTTTATATTCAAGAAATCTTTAAAATATTCCCTACTTTAGGGGTTCAAGGAAGAAGTTGCAATAAATAATTAATTTGAAAATTGTAAAAAACACCTGCAAAACTCATCCAGTCATCCCCAAATGCCTCATCAATAAGAATAGATGAAATATTTCTCAGGAGCCATGTTGTTAGGACCAGACTGGCTGTGTTTGATCTGAATCCAGCTTACGACTTGGTTTAGTCCAAGCGCCTAGGAAAGTGTGAACCAGTCAAAAATTGAATTTTCATTAATTTTTTAAAAATATAGATATATTAATAACTCAAATTTTTGTTATTTCATGCTTTTATTTATTTTGTGGTTGGTTTTTCTCATGTTATATATGTTTTTGATTATTCATCGGTGATTTTAGTTAATCATGAAAGCTTGTTTTAGTTTAGTTAGACGATTAATATAGCATATATAGACTTGATAATTTCAGTTATTTGTAATATAGATCCATAATAAATAATTTTATTATTTTAATTGAGATTGTGGTTCGGACAAGTAATGCTCTGACCGATTCAACACCCAGTTTGTATGAATCTGAGTAACATTGCTGAGAAAGATAAGGAAGAAACCAAGCTTAGTAGATCCAATGAGTCAAGCCTCCACTTAGGACGGTGTCAATACTCCCCTCCGTCAATGAGTATTTTTTAAAATTATT